GGGCGGGGGCTGCGGGGGCGCGCCGGCCGGGCTGCGGGGTTCGCCGCCCCCAGCGGCGCGGGAACAATGACAGCCCGATGGGAAGTGGGAGGGGGGGTGGAGCGGCCTCCAGAAAGCGCCCCTGACTGCACCCGTGTTCTCTTGCTCGGCGGTGCTAAAACAAGCTTGCTCCGAGGAGCTGTAGATGCTGTTTCTAACGGGTGAAAATAGTTTCTGTAAGTGATGAAAAAATTTTCCACTTTATGCGGTTGTTTGGCTGGGGCCCAGCGCAGTTAAGTCCCAGCGTTCTTCGGGAAGGAGCCAGGAGGTTTACTGCATCCTCCGACCTGTAAATTTCGGGGGGAGAACAGTTAAGAAGGAGCCTGAGCATTTTACCGCAGCTGGCGGGGCTTGAGAAAGTGACAAAGGCACTGCTCCTGTCCGTGGCTCGGGGACTGATTCCCCCTCTCTGTTCAGGGAACCAGAAATGTGTCCATTAAGGGACTGGTGACGGCTGGGCTTAGCCCCCGAAGGTTCCCCAAAGGAGGCGATTTGAGCGGAGGTTGTAGGTGCCCGGCCCAGAACTGGGCAGGACTGGAAGAGCAGCCTGGGATGGACTGGTGGAGGGGGAGGGGGGAGGAGAAGGAGGAGGGAGCTCCCACGGGCTACTTGGGGACAGGAGGCAGCAAAGGCGCCCGCAGCCCTCAGTGATTCTCGGCTGTGAACCGCACAGGGCCTGTCGCTCCTCGTCCCAGCTGCAGCCAGCCAATGAAAGATAGACGCAGGGGACCCCCGAGCCAATGGAAACCTCCCGGCCTGCGGAGGACTTGCCACTGGAAACATTTATGGACACCTGGCCAAGAGGCTTCCCTTGGGGGTTGCCTTTCCAGAAGCCCAGGACAGGTGTGTATCAAGGGCCAAAATCCCAGGAGCGTGTTCAAGTACTCATTCTTTAGGATCAGAGCCCCTGCTTCTTGTAAAGACATACAAACGCCATTATAAAGGGCGAGGGAGCAAAGAAGAAAGGGAGGAGGGCAGGCGGGAAGAAACGTGCTCGCTGACCTGACCATCGTAGAAGCTGGTGAAGGGTTCCTCCCACTGTCCTATGCCCTCAGTCATTTTCCCCGCGATAAAGTTTAACACCTTGCATTTGTGTCGTGCTTTACAGTTTCCAGACGGCTTTCACATGAGTGATTTAGCTGGTAATCACTCTAACCTATATTACTCATACGTAACCAGTGGAGGAAGTGACACTCAGACGTGTTCAACCATATACCCAAAGAGATGCAGCTGCCAGTGATAACGGTGGGACTAGAGCTCAGGGGTCCTGACTGCAAACCCAGGGCTCTTTAAATGCATCCCAGGAAGGAAACCAGGCCTGCTTTATGATTTCTGGTGCCCAGGGCACACCCAGCAATTAAAATGAAATCCAGAAGGATGAGGTTAATTTTTTTTCTTAGTCATCGCTCTTTCAAACTGTCCCCTTGAAACACGGTTGGCTCTGCCATTATACACCTGGGTGTGAAGAAGAGATGTGACGGACTCACTGCTAGGAAAGCCAGTGCTGGAGGTAAGAACAGATTGGGGGGGAAAGGGGGTGAAGATGGGTCACCAACTGTGGCTTTCTTCCTTAGCCATACCTATCATTAGGTCAACTCAAGATCTGTGGCCCTCTGTCTTCTCTCATATTGGTTACCCACTGGAGAGGTATTTTCTTGTCCCGGGCTCTGCCTGCACAAAATAGTCTACACCCAAGGGGCCGTCTGAAGCCTCCACCTCGGTCACGGCCACGGTCCCACCCCTGAGGAAACAAAGACACGCCCCCCTCCCATGGCCATGACAACATTGTTAAAATGAGTTTTGCTCCTAGAGGACAGTCACTTCAGCACTCACTGCGTCTCTGCCATAGTCCCAGATGAAGACTCTGGCGTGTTCAGCAAAGTGGGTAATCCTCAGTGGTCCCCAAGCCTGAATGACCTTCACAGTCAAGCTTTTTAAAAATGCACATCACTGAACACGTCTCTGGGTTGGGATTCAGGAGGTCCTGGATGTGTGCTATTTGTTTTGTTTTATTTTATTTATTTATTTGCTAGAGAGAGAGAGCGAGCCAGAGCACAAGCAGGGGGAGCTGCAGGCAGAGGGAGAAGCAGGCTCCCCGCTGAGCAAGGAAACTGATATGGGGCTCCATCCCAGGACCCTGGGATCATGACCTGAGCCGAAGGCAGACTCTTAACCCACTGAGCCACCCAGGCGCCCCTATCTGTTTTGTTTTAAACACCCTGAAGTGAATTAGGTGATCGGCCAGGTTTGGAACGACTTTCATCTGAATTGGTGGATTATTGGTCAAGCGAGGAGCCTGTCATTGAGATGTTCGAATTGCATACGAATGGGCAGAATGACAACTCCATTCATAGGAGAGTCCAAAAGGGAACTAAAACTGCTCACGGTAGGAAAATTCTGTATTGAGTGTACGACCTTAGAGGAATATAGGGCTAGGGAACTGAGAATGGTTGGGGACTTATTTTCACTAAAATGAAATTAAAGAGTCAGTACTCTAAATAGAGATAAGGTCAGTGGCTTATATTTGCGTGACTTCTGATCAATGGGCTGTGTTTGCTTCATTTCCTTACTCTCTAGATGCACGCTGTTCCTCTAGTAACCGCTAGCCACGTGTGGATGCTGAGCACGGAAATGGGGCTAGTCCAAACTGAAATTGCTGTCTATGTAAACGGCACACTGGATTTCAAAGACTTTGGAAAAGTAACAGCTAATGGACACCTTTAGCATTGATTATGTGTTAAAAGAATATTTTGGATCCCCTGAGTTAAATACATAATTAAAATTCATTTCACCTGTTTCTTTTTACGTGTTTTTACTGTGGCTCCTAGAAAACTTTAAATTGCATATATGGCCTGTGGGGGCTAAATGCATTCTTGATCTGGGTGATGGAGATACACATGTATGTGTGTACGTGCTGAAATTCATCTAACTGTGCCCTTAAGCCTTGGGTACTGCACTGCTGTATATAAATAAAAATCAGTTTTAAAAAATTTAAAAAACAGGAACGCCTGGGTGGCTCAGTTGGTTAAGCATCTGCCTTCAGCTCAGATCATGATCCCAGGGTCCTGGGATCAAGTCCCACATCAGGCTCCCTGCTCGGCAGGGAGCCTGCTTCTCCCTCTCCCACTCCCCCTGCTTGTGCTCTCTCTCTCTCTGACAAATAAATAAATAAAATCTAAAAAAAAAATAAAAAATTTTAAAAACAAACTAACAATGGCTTCCTGTTGCATTTAGAACAAAAGCTAAGCTCCTCTCCGTGGCCACCCAAGACCTGGCCTACTCCTCTCCCTCACCGGACACCATTCTCCCCATGGCTCATTGACCTTGCCGCTTTTCAGATGTGCTCGCCCATACCCATCTTGGGGTATTTGCATTTTCCTCTGCTTGGAAGATTTCTCTTCCAGATCTTCTTTGCTCCCATTCATGTCTCAGCTCAAACATCACCTCCTTCTTCCCTGACCATCTATATTGGTTAGAATGTTTCTGGTCAAAAGAAACAAGAAACCCAAATTGGCTTAAACATTGAAGGGAATTTATTGGCTGTGAAACTATGAAGTCCAGAAGCAAATCAGACTCCAGCCAGGGTATAGTCAGGGTGCTGGATCCTTTTTACTATGATTCTCTTGGGGCTCCCCTCAATAGGTCACCTTAATCCTCATGCTGACCTCCTATATGTTAGCAAAATGGCTTCAACGAATCCTAGCTTCGCATCCATATCCCACCTCATCCAGAAGGAGAGAGTTTCATGTCCTCCAACGCTCAAAGGAAAGTCCTGAACTTCACCTAACCAATCCCTTAGCCCAGGAGAATCCCACACACTCACTGGTGTAACCCTGAACCAGTCACTGCTCATAGGACCCTAATTAGGCTTAGGCCATGAAAGCCCCATGCCACCCAAATCTCAAGGCTACCATGTATTTGAGCGATTCGAATGGGTGCTGGGGAGGCAGCTGATGTGTCCACTAGACCACCCTACCACCTTAAGTCACTATCTAGACCAGTGCTTGGCAAACTTTTTCTTTTCTTTTTTTTTTTTTTATTCTTATGTTAATCCCCATACATTACATCATTACTGGCAAACTTTTTCTGTCAAGAAAAATAGTAGA